GCCACAAGGTCCCCAAACGACCCTCCGCAGGTTTTGAATTCAGAGTTTTCCTTCTTCTAGACCAGTTGCCATCCAAGTGTGTCCTGCTATTTACCCATAGCTGGAGGGAGAAAAAGAGGATACACACCTTTCCCAAGGGTATTAGTGAATATAGTAGATTCGACTGGAATTCGAACTCGGCTCTCCGATTCCACAATCAAGCCGCTATCCATTACTCCACCATGCCTCTTATCTATGTATGTATGTATGTGTGTGTGCGTGATATTTTCTTCTAACACTTGAACTTTATGGCCTTGAATATAGTGAATTGGTATACTTATAGCTTGCTATTTTTATTTGATTGATAAATGTTTTTGATTTTTTAATGGTTTATTTAACTTTCTTTTCTCAGCCTTTGGGTCTCCTTTCCGTTTTCTTGCTTCTTTGACACGTATAGCCTTCAAAAAATTTAAATGCATCGCCAATCGCTATCATCTGTCTTCCTGAATGCTGTTCTTTTATTGTCCTTTCTCTTCAGTAATGATTTCTCATTCCCAGTAACCTCTTGTGTCATAGTGGCATTATCACCTTGCTTTTGAAACGATTTCAAACACTAGAGCTGAAAGAGTAGTTCTCTTAGGCAAGAAGACATTTCTATTTTCTAAAACCAGATGATATTCTTTACTCGTCCCCCCATTTTATTTTTACCTTTATCCATATTTCTTAACCGTTTTTTGCAACTCGATTTTCAATTTGAGATTTTACTAAAGTCGAATTTTGTCATTGCATAGCAACCATTGTAAAAAAAATATTCTGTTGTTTATATGTGGGAATATTTAAACTTTAAAGTAATGTTTCGCCTTTGTTTGGGGATTAACAGTTTTAACATTTCTGTATCTTTTTTACAATTTCTATGACCGTCTGTCGTGTATTTCTGTTTGATGTTCAGACCAAAGAATAACTGCCCATGTTTGGGGCTTTGAGATAGCAAAATAAATAAAACTTAAGTTGACATTCTCTAATGATTATTATCACAGAACATCTATTTACGCAGAGTTCGCATCCACTTGTCGTTTATGTGACATCCTGCGAGACGATTTTCGCTTGAATCTTCTCTAAATGATCTTTCAAGATAACGAGTGCCAAGATGGCAAGGATTAAACCCGAGGTTTAAGAAAAGAAACTCGTCCAATCAGTTTGGCTTTAGAATCATCGTTTATCTGTTTCTTTTTTTTCTTATTTTGCCGTTCATGGCTCAGTAAGCTCGTTGGTCAAGTGTTCTGCAACAGAAATGGCCGCCGGCAGTGAAAGCGTCAGATAATAAAGGCTAAGGAGACATGAGAAAAATTGAGTGTGGATGCGACATCAAAAGGGGGGGGGTGGATATTTGATGAAGGGTAATGACAGTTTAGGGGGAGCAAGGATTTGTAGAAATTCATTGGCACATGTGCAGGAGTTTCTGTTTGGGAAATAAAGGGGAAATACTTAATAGAGGATAAAACGGAAGATGTGTAGATATTAAAGAAATAAGTCTAAAACACTAAACGACAAATAAATTAAAAGAAAAATTTGACACAACAAACACATACACATATATATATATATATATATATATATATATATATATATATATATGTGTGTGTGTGTGTGTGTGTGTGTGTGAAAATATATAGAAAATAGGAAAGAACTGGTTAGGTAAATAATCCAAAGTCCCTTAGTATTTTAGTTATTATTTTTTAAAAAAATAGTGCTCGATACAAAAGTAAAGCATAAATATAATTATTTATTTAAAAATATCTAATTATAATTGTCGGACTTTGTCCATTTCATAATGTGTGACGTCATTTGTTTACATTTGATACTCCATGAGCAGATATGAATGTACGTGAGAGATGCATGAAAGATTGAAGTTTAAAGACAGTAAATTCGACCTTGTTAACCGAACGCTCCCCTGTGGCCAAATCGATAAAGGCACGTCAAGCCAAATGACGGTTCCGTATAGGATACAGGTTCGAATCCTGTCGGAGGACGAATATTTTCTATGAAAATTTTTCGGGCATAGCAGGCCGGTAAATGTTGTTTAATACTGTTTATTATAAACAGAGCATTTACTTAAATATTTGTATCTATAAAAAGAATGTATAAACATAAAAATGTCTTAATATATATATAGGGAAGAGGTTATAGTTGTTCCAACGAGAGTAAAGTGTATATTTTAAAAAGAAGAGAGAATCCGCAAACGTTTTTGGTTGTAATGTGAACTTTTTAAAAATATATATCTATATTATATTTTATTTTTTTTAAAAATATATATATTATATTTTATTATATTTTATTTTTTTATAAATTATGGAAAATAAAAAGAAAGAAAGAAAGAAAGAAAGAATCAATGGAAAACAACGAGAAGAAAGGAATATGGATTAAGCAATAAGAAAGGAAGAAAGAAAGAAAGAAAGAAAGGAAATAGAATGAAAAGAAAGGAAAATTAAATGCAAGAAAATCGAAAAAAAGAAAAGTAGAAAAAGAATTTGAAAGAAATAACAAATGAAATGCAAGAAAGATAAGAAGAAAAGAAAGAAAAAAAGGAACAATGAAAAAGAAAGGGAAGAAGAAGAAAAGAATAAAAGAAAGAAAACGGACGGTTGTTAATAATAATAATAATAATAATAATAATATTGTCGACCATATTATCTCAGGATATCCGGATCTAGCAAAAAATGAATATACCCACAGACATAACATGGTAGCGACGTATGTGCACTGGAAGATATGCAAGGAGCACAAAATCGAAACCATTGAGAGATGGTATGAGCACCAGCCAGACACAGTTACCCAAAATAACGATGTAACTATCCTCTGGGACATGATTATTCAAACGGACAGGGAAATAAAAGCCAACAGAACTGATTTTATCATATAAGGCAAAAAATTCAGGAAGTGTATGCTTATTGACATAGCAGTACAATCTGAGAGAATCATCCCCATAAAAATTATCGAGAAATTGTCCAAATACAAGGACCTGGTGATGTGGAGAATGAAGACTCAATAGTAATCTGAGCTCTGGGCCGCGTGAAAAAAATGAAGGGATAATTTTACAGTATCCCGGGTAACATCAGCATACATCGCCCTACTAGGAATATCCCATATACTAAGAAAAGTGCTATCAATTATATGACGATTCTCCTATAGGGCCTAAGGAGCATAGTTTAGACCCGGCTCTACAGGAACCAAAGCAGGAAACATAATATGCACAAATAATAATAATAATAATAATAATAATAATAATAATAATAATTTTACTTGTTAAAATCACGTGATGTTACTAAAAAAACGTTTTCATTCCGTTTTTTTTTTGTAATTTCCTTTTAAGGTTCCTTTTCTATGAAATGGTATGACATTTTGGAAAAGATAGTGTTATAGCTTCCCGTTGACGTTTTTTTTTTTTAAATTAGAGATACCCATCTTTTAAACTTTGTTGCCAGCCAGGAGTGACCAGTCTTCGCTATTATTTAGCCTTTAGCTGACGAAAGAGGAAAGATTCCTGCCTTTCCCGAAAGCAATAGTCCGCTATCAGACTCAGTCGGAATTTGTACTTAACTCGACGTATCGCGACGATAAGCCTTACACATCTAGCACAGCAAAAATCGGTTAGGAATTTATAGAGAAACCGAGGAAAATGATAGAGAATAGAAAATAATGTCGAGAGAGATATGCAACTAAATATAATTGCACTATATACATTGCTCGGACTATCATCCTCATCTTTGTTGCCATATTTATCACAACGTTTCGGACGTTTTACGCTCCAGCTTTCTTCAGATGGTTGGAATGTCGAACTGAACCCTTTATATCGCTCGCTAGGGTAGACTGTTCTAGTTCCACGTGCCATATCTAATGGATGTCAGTTATCAGTTATTTCCTGTTTATATGGCAAGAAATATGAGGACGATAGTCCGAGTAATGTAAATAGTGTACATAGTACCTCATCTCAGAAATATGGACAAATATAATTGCATTTAAAAAAAATATATTCCAACAAAGATAAAATAACTATATAGATATCCTAGCACAATTTTTCTTTCTAAAATACTCATAAAAAAATGCGAAAACAATCTATTAATATGACAGCCGTATCAATTTAACATTGTAACTTGTTAGCGATTTGAATTGTTTCACTTCATTTCCCAGATTTAAGTCTAAACGCTGACATAAAATCCATATTTCCTGTCATCAATGTCATTGACATTAAGTTAGGTACTCATAGAAGTCACTAAAAGAGATCGATTTATGGAAAGCAGTAAAACATCACAATCTCTTCAGGGATCCAAACTAAACGAAGACAAACGTCCACCAGCGAAATAGGAAGACTTCTTTTCCTAACAGTTCGAAATCTGGATGATATTTACTCGTCTTAGTCTGGCACAAGGTCACAAGTATGGGGCTGTCTTGTAGGATCGAAATCATTGCAGTTATAATCAACCGGTTCGTAATAGTTCTTGAGAAATTTTAGAAGTTCAGGGGGAAATTTTGGCAAAATTAAAATATTTCCTTTTACCTATAATTATTTTCGCCAAAACTAATGAAGAGGTGACAGAAAGAAGGAAAGAAAGAAAGAAAGAATGAAAGAGAAAGAAAAGAAAACAATAGAAAGGAAATGACTATAAAATAAACTTAAGAGAATCGGGGAAAGAAAAGAGTCTAGAAAAGAAAGAAATCGTTAAAAGGAAAGAGGAGAAAGAAAAAAAAAATTTGAAAGAAAGAAAAAAGAAAGAAAAAAAAAGAAAAAAAAAAGAAAGAAAGAAAGAAAGGAAATGATAAGAAAATAAAATAAGAGAAATCGGGGAAGAGTTTAAAAAGAAACAAATGGTAAAAAGGAAAGAGGAGAAAGAAAAAAATTTGAAAGAAAGAAAAGAAAGAAAGAAAAAAGAAAGAAAAAGAAAGAAAGATAAAGATAAAAGAAAGAAAACAAGAAAAGAAATGACTATAAAATAAACTTAAGAGAATCGGGGAAAGAAAAGAGTCTAGAAAAGAAAGAAATCGTTAAAAGGAAAGAGGAGAAAGAAAGAAAAATTTGAAAGAAAGAAAATAAGAAAGAAAGAAAGAAAGAAAGAAAGAAAGAAAGAGAAAGAAAGAAAGAAAGAAAGAAAGGAAATGATAAGAAAATAAACGTAAGAGAATCGGGGGGAGAGTCTAAAAAAGAAACAAATCAAAAAAGGAAAGAGGAGAAAGAAAGAAAAATGTGAAAGAAAGAAAGAAAGAAAGAAAGAAAGAAAGAAAAGAAAGAAAGAAAGAAAAGAAAGGAAAGATAAGAAAATATTCAAGAGAATCGGGGGAGGGAAGAGTCTAAAAAAAGAAACAAATGGTAAAAGGAAAAGAGGAGAAAGAAAATGTGAATGTGAAAGAAAAAAAAAAGAAAGAAAAGAAAGAAAGAAAGAAAGAAAGAAAAAGAAAAGTTCAATAGAAAGGAAATGACTGCGGAAAAATAAACTTAAGAGAATCTAGGGAAAGAAAAGAGTCTAGAAAAGAAAGAAATCGTTAAAAGGAAAGAGGAGAAAGAAAGAAAAATTTGAAAGAAAGAAAAAAAGAAAGAAAGAAAGAAAGAAAGAAAGAAAGAAAGAAAGAAAGAAAGGAAATGATAAGAAAATAAACGTAAGAGAATCGGGAGGGGGAGAGTCTAAAAAAGAAACAAATGGTAAAAAGGAAAGAGGAGAAAGAAAAATGTGAAAGAAAGAAAATAAGAAAGAAAGAAAGAAAGAAAGAAAGAAAGAAAGAAAGAAAGAGAAAGAAAAGAAAACAATAGAAAGGAAATGACTATAAAATAAACTTAAGAGAATCGGGGAAAGAAAAGAGTCTAGAAAAGAAAGAAATCGTTAAAAGGAAAGAGGAGAAAGAAAGAAAAATTTGAAAGAAAGAAAATAAGAAAGAAAGAAAGAAAGAAAGAAAGAAAGAAAAAAGAAAGAAAGGAAATGACAAGAAAATAAACGTAAGAGAATTGGGGGGTGGGAAGAGTCTAAAAAAAGAAACAAATGGTAAAAAGGAAAGAGGAGAAAGAAAGAAAAATCTGAAAGAAAGATTGAAATTGAAGCAAAAAGAAAGAAAATAGAGAAAAGAAAAAATTTACAAAGAAAGAAAGTATAAAGAAATAGACTTTTCTGAATTTCTTTTTGTTTGAGTCACACTTGCGAACATAAAAGAAAATGTTGAAATTATTTTTAAATAATACGATTTTTTTTATTTTATATATGTAGTTTTATTGATATTTTCTCTAAAAAATCTGGAAATATTTGAAGCATGATGAAAATGTAAGTTCTAAGTTAAACATTCTTTTATTAATTCCAAAGAACAAAATAAAAATGGATTTCAAGAAAGAACAGCTTCCAAAGAGTTAAGCCGCTGAGTGAAATGCTCTGTGAAAGAATCATTTTTTTGGCGAGGCACTCCATATATTAATCATCATAAAGTTTGGCAATAGAAACACAAATGAGGAACAAGAATGGAGAACTGACATCACTTGATTAATAATAATCTGCGTAATTGTCTTCCTAACTATGGCTACAGGCCGAGGGGTCCATGAGTAACTTTCTTGTACGACGGCGAGGGAATAGTTTGTGTAGAAGAGACGGACAGCAGAATGGAGAACTTCCAAAAGTATTGTACTCTATGCACTCTGATCTATTTCTGTCTGTCTATACTTATCTATCTTAGTATCACACATTTCACGTGAATTCCTATCTATCTATCTATCTATCTATCTATCTATCTATCTATCTATCTATCTATCTAAGGCTTTCCATATCTATCTATCTATTTAAGCCTTTCCATATCTATCTATCTATCTATCTATCTATCTATCTATCTATCTATCTATCTCACTGTTTATGTTCATACCCAGGACGCGGATATCTATTCTATCTATCTATCTATCTATCTATCTATCTATCTATCTATCTATAACTGTTCATGTAATCTAGTTCTATCTATCTATCTAGAAAATCTATCTATCTATCTATCTATCCAAGGCCTTCCATATCTCTTCTCTCAAATCTATCTATCTATCTATCTATCTTCTTTTTTTTACTATAATATATACCCTGTACAAGACCCGAGTGCCAATCGAGGTAGTATCTTCAAGAAATATTGATTATAAACAAATATAATCATTTACACTATTTACATTGTTTGGACTGTTGTTTCCATCTTTGTTGCCATATACACGACGTTTCGGCCGTTGTACGCTCTGGTGTTCTTCCGGCAATTTTTTCGTCCATAAGGACACATTGCCGAGTGGGTAAAAGGGTTGGTTGAAGTAATCCAATGACTTTATCAGCAGAGTTGTGAGTTCAATACCTGGCCAGAGCAGAGGTGAACAAAAAACATTCCGAAAAAAGAACTGATTTAAAAGGAAATAACATAACATGAGATATCCAGAAGAGGCGTGGTATGTGGAACTGAAAAAAACCACGGCAGACGAAATAAAGGGTCCGGTTCGATATTCTAATCACCTGAAGAAAGGCGGAGCGTACAACAACCGAAACGTCGTGAATATCGAAACAAAAATGACAACAATCCCAATAATATAAATACAGTAAAAACAACAGAATCCCTGACAAACGGACTAAGAAGGCCTTCCGGATATGAGGAATTCCGGATAAGAGGAATTGGTTACAAAGTTCGGATATGAGGGATTATATTTAGATTAAAATAAAAGAACTGAAATCAAATTTAACATTTATTTTCAATGTTTTATAGTAAACAACATAAGCTAATGGTGAGTGAAATATAACGGAATTGATTTTAAGGAAAAAGAAATAAATTATGTAATGCTAACCAAAATTCATTAAATTAAGTATGCCACGTATGCAAAACGAATAATGTAACGAGGATTTTTTAATCGCTGTAGCATGATGATTCTTTCTCTTCAAATGTCATTCTCAACTTTATACGCATTTCGTTTTGCTTTTTTGTTCTTGAATTTTTTTAAACGAAAGACACTTTTTTAACTCTGCGTGCGTTATTGCAATCGTCATAGCTGAATGCTGGCTTTCTTTCCATAAAACTGACAACCTTTTCAATAGCTTTTTCAATTTCAGTCCAGATTTTATCTCCATCATGTTTTTTTATTTCCTTCTTCATTGTGACAATGTGAACGCTGGAGAATAGTTTCTTTGGAAGATTTTATATCATACAATATTGACTTTCCTATGTTGAACTCAGCCATTAGCTACAATGAAGTTCCACCAGCATCTAGTTTGTTTAAAATTTCCGCTTTTTGTGATAACTCCAAAGTTGTTCTTTTCCTGTTATTCCCATCATCTTTTGCACCAATACAAGCCATTAGGGGTGAAATAAACATAAACAATTATCCAAAGTAAATTTCCTGAAAAACAAAAATTTCAAACAAAATACTTCAAATATACACATCAAAATCATGTCCACATATGCGGAATCCTGGATATGAGGCACTCCGGATATGAGGGATTCCGGATAATAGGGACTCTAGATATGAGGGATTCAACTGTAATTACAATACATCATCTCAAAAATATCGACAGACATTAACAAATGTAGAGCAATATGTATTTATTTCTCGTATACAGGAATCCGCATGCGTTTTCGATAAGTGCGCTAAAACTACATATCTCTCTCACTCTCTCTCTCTATCTCTCTCTATCTCTCTCTCTATATATATATATATATATATATATATATATATATATATATATATAATAACTATAAATATCCTAAGTAGACCTAGAAATAAATACATGGGAGCTGCTAATAAAGAAACAAAGAGAAATGACAGCAAGTCTCAACTGCAGCAGCAGCAGTCAAAACATGACAGCAAGAGCAGTAGCAACAGTGGCAACCTAACAGTAGGCGAAGTTTTAGACTTACGCGAACATGGCTCTCCACTTCCCACTATCTCTTGTAGCTTTCAATAATTTTTGTTCCCCAGGGCATGTTCTGTCATCCACTTGCTTAAGCCCGCCAGGTATGCCATGAGTTGCATTCCCTTGTCTCTGTTTCCCTCTATGAGTATCAAATTCTCCAAACACTCCATTCTCATTACGTATCTCAGAAATGTCAGCTGCCTCTTTCTGGTGTTAAATAGAAGCTTCCTCCTTGTTTGTATCCAGTCCAAACCCTGAACATTGCTCACACGCTCGGTCCATGATATCCTTAGCATCCTTCTGTAGAGCCACACCTTCGTTCCCTCGAGTCTCTTCTTCCTTTTTGAGGACACCGTCGAACATTCGCTGCCGTAAAGGAAGACAGATATCATATATACAGTTCAGTATTCTTTTCTTTGTTATCAAAGAAATCCCCTGTCTCGTAATACTCTCCCTAGCTTTTGGAATGCGTCCTTGGCCATCCCAATACGTCCTCGGATCTCAGTGTCGCACTTACCGTCCTCTGTCAAAACACTTCCCAGCCTGTTTGATTTTAGTGTCCCCGCTCTGCAGATCGTATTTCGGGCTCATCCTTTTACTGATGACCCTGTCTTCTTGTAGTTTATGTTTACAGCATATTCGACGAGTGGGTAAAAGCGTTGGTTTGTGAATTTGGTGACATCGTGGTTGTGAGTTCAATCTCTGAGACTTGCAGTGTTATTTGAAATCAGTGGAAACGGGAAAGCAATAACTGAACAGTAGTAAATCAAATAAGAACTGAAAGATATGACATGATAAGGTCTACCTCTGCTGATTAAAGGTCCAGGCTGATATACGCCTGAGATTTAAAAGAGTCGAAAATAAAAGTGATGCCTGATTGACTAACGAAAATCAAATGACACAAAAGTAAAAATATCAAAATTGTTTTTTCTTTTTCTCCATATCTCATTCTTTGATGAAGCTTTAATAAAAGGGAAACATGGCAGATTGATAAACTACTATTTTTTTCTTTAAAGTAAGGCTATATAAAGAACGGAATTTGTCTTGGACGTTTCTCTCCTAATTCTGATACATTCTTTTTCCTCCAGCTTTTTTCTTAAATGGCTAATCTTCTTTTATCTTTAGCCACCCACCAGGTTCCTAATCTTCAGCGCTTTCTGAATTTCTCTACCACATGGAAACATCTACCATTACAGAGGCCGGGCGTGACGCAACAGCCTTTCTGGAAAGGTTATTTACCTCACCACCCCGCGAGGCAGGATGTGGCACAGGGCCTTTTGTAATGCGGGGTAAAACCGAGTTCACGGGCTTGGGCAAAAATTTCACGTAGACCCCGTAAAAAGCGGGATCGGGTAGCTGTCTACCTCCCCAGACGAGACTTTGCCCTTCAGCATAGCATCGTCTGGGTTCCTCTCTGCCTTCAGGAGAGAGGTCCACTAGCTTACCTGAAGACGAATCTCGAACTAATTGCCGAAGCTGGTACCAAAGCCTTTCTGGAAAGAACCCACAATCTATGATCTGATTTCTATTGATAAGTAGCCTCACCATCTGCCACCAACTCAAACCCTATGCATATATATATATATATATATATATATATATATATATATATATATATATATATATATATGTATATAATGTTATAATTTATTTGCTGAAAGGGAGAGAGAGAGATTAGAAGAATGATTTTAACTTAAAAAGGCCACAGCTTATCATGTCTGATAAATATTCATGTCTCATTGATATTGATTTTATTAAGCTCCCAGACGACCGTTTCCCCCCATCTGTGTATTTTTTCTCCGGGTTCCGCATCGCATTTCTCTCTTCTCTCTCTCTCTCTCTTCTCTGCTCGTTATACTCCCTCATTCATCCCTCTGCGTGTTTCTCTTCCGTATATGTTATATTGGTAAAAATTTCCCCCTCCACCATTTGCTAAGCCGGCAAATCCTCTTGCCCTGTGGTTGAACGGAGGAAGTCTCTCTCGTACGACACCGATAATAGTTTTGCGTTTACCGTCTTTCATTTTTTTAAAACATTACACCCCGAGCAAGGCAATAAAGCCACTAAGATACAAGCGATTACTGGGTGTAAGAGAATATCATAAAAAAATACTATTAAGGAGAGAAAACAATAAAAGACCAAGAATTAAGAAAACAGTATATTACATCTACGTCACCAGGCATTATATTTCAAAGTCACGGTAAATAAAAGATCCTTCCAGAAAGCTCCAAAATTGTGACCTTGTGCCAAACAAATTAAGTATAGTAACTTAACTTAGTGTTGCTCATGTATGTATTTTTCAGTTGTGATCAAATTCAGTACTAACCTAGCTATGTGTTAATTAGTAATATATCACTAACCAATTACCTAAAATGAAAAAAAAGACATTCTTACAATCTATTAAAAAATATTCTCTAGCCTAAATAACCTGCAAAGTGTGGATAACCCGTAAAAAACAAATCAATCAATAAAAGGGCATATGGCCCAGTGGATAAAGACTTGGTTAGATCAAGTGACTTAGCACAAAAAGTTGTGAGTTCGATTCAGTCACCTTAAGGAGGTCGGAGCGTACAACAGCCGAAACGTTGTGAATATGGCAATGAAGATGACGATAAAAGTCCGAATAATTTAAATAATACAAGTAATCATAATACCACATCTCAGAGATATAGATGAAGATGAGGATAACAGTGGGAATAATGTAAATACTGAAAATAATCATAATACCTCATCTCAGAGATATAGACAGAGTTATAGACAGAGGAATAGACAGAGAAATATGACATAAAGGCCGGAGCGTACAACGGCTGAAACGTTATGAATATGGCAATGAGAATGAGGATATCAGTCCGAATAATGTAAATAATGTAAGTAATCATAATGCCTCATCTCAGAGATATAGACAGAGTTATAGACAGAGGAAGAGACAGAGAAATATGAAATAAAGGCCGGAGCATTCCACGGCAGAAAAGTTGTGAATATGGCAATGAAGATGAGGATAGCAGTTCGAATGATGTAGATAATGCAAGTAATCATAATACGTCATCTCAGTGATATAGACAGTCAATAAAAAATAATTTCCTAAATTTAAGGGCAGTTGTAAGAAGGAGAAAATAACACTTTTAAGCCTGTGACTTACATAGATATACGTGAAGCACCTGGAAAAATTAAAGGATGACATTAAAGTACATTTTGAGGTCTATGATAAAATGCATGGACATAACACTGCTATTAATTCAACTACCTTCACTCCACGTAACGTAGACTAGCAGTAGAGCCCGACGTTGCCCGGGGATGTAACAGTAAAGATTATTGTTTAAGGTTGACGGACACGCATGTCTTAATTCGTTTTTTTTTTTTTTTTACGAATTGGTCAAACCCAAACTCAAACAAAAACATTGTTTTCAATCATTATGAGTCTATCGATTGAATAGAATTTTAATATAAACTATTGTCTTGTAAATGGAATTTTTAAGGCATTCTGAATGTAAAAATAAAGAAAAAAGTGTGCAAGACAATAAGAAACACTACCTGCAAAAAAAAAAAGTTTTGTTGAAATCGGTTGAAAAATGTAGGAATATAACACACACCATATATACACACACACACACACACACACACACACAAACAACCTGGGTTTTTTAACCTGGGTTTTATAATAAGTATAACTGATATGAGTTTTCCCCTTTCATTCTCGCGATAGCGATGCCTCTTAATCGTGTTTTCAAATTGATTTTGTGCAAAAACAATTGTGTTTTTCCAATATTTGGCGTTGTCAGAACCACCGCAAGGTAATTTTACGTAGTGCTGTGAAGTTTTGTTAAAATGGTTTGAAAAATGTAGTAAATCTGATTCAATATATAAACGAACAGACACACACACACACACACACACACACAAACACACACACACACACTCACAACCTGGGTTTTATAATAAGTATGATTTAGAGGTAAAGTTCATCGCAATGAGTCTTGCCTTGTCATATGAGTTTGTAATGATTTCAGGACCATTTATGATAGTTCCTACTGACGCTTTGTTTCTATTGGCAATTTTATTTGAGAATTTCCGGAACCAACAGGGACCAAGTTTTTTTTGTTTTTACCCATGGCTTGGATTGACAGGGCATAACGTTGCTTCCTGTGTTGTTCTCCGTGGTCAAGCGGTAATTCACGTTGGATCAAATAGTGGTTTGCCCTATAAAAGGGAAGGTAAGTTCGATCCCTGTCGGTGAACGCATTTTCCGTTACCAAGATTCGTCGAATGCGCAGGCCGATAGGCGTAATACCTACTGTTTAATAAATAAATATAAAGCTTCTATTTCAAATACGGAGTATCCACTATAATATAAGCTTGAAGTAATATATACGAGGATAAGTTAAAAAGTATCCTCATTTTCGCCATAATATATAACAAGAGAAAGGATAATTTCTTACTTTGTTGTTATTTTCATTCCCCACCCTTCAGACAAATTGTTCATATGGCAACAATTTAGGACTACATAGAGACTCAGTGGTATTAAAGTGACTGTAATAAGAATGATAAGAAAGTGTTGTTTTGTTATAAGGAATACTGTGGTATGTTTGGGTCAGTAATCGTGATGAGCTAAGTTTAAGATAGGAGAAGTAATGGATAGCGGCTCGAATTGAGAAATCAGAGAGCCGGGTTCGTATTCCAGACGAATCCATTACTTTCACTTATGGAAAGTGTTGTTTACGATCCACCTAATTTACATAGTGGAGTACCGACCATATAAATATGGTTGGTACCGGGAAGACGAGTGGGAGGAAGAAGAGATCCAATCCAGAGACTCTGCCCGACTGCGACTAAGTCAACCCATTCTACAGGAACGGTCTTCCCAAGAATACATTTTGTTTAAGTACATTTTGTGTTGTATTATTATTATTCCATGCTTTATTCAAGTTTCAACAATGTTTCAACAGAAAGGTATGAATTCTCTTCTTCTCCTCCAAGCTGTGGGTAAAAAAGCAGGACAGACCGGTTTCCTTGGGTGGCAACTGGTCTAGGAGAAAGACAATTCAAAATCTGATCCTTTAGATTGGGGTTTGTGCAGTAGGCTAACAACCTACCCACTTAAAAACTAGGGTACCTCAGCGTGATGTAATGGTTAGCAAGCATGTCTTGCTAAAACAGTTACGACTGAATAGTGAGTTCGATCCTCATTGGGTGCCCCATACTTTCGGCCTTGTGCCACATCTAAGCAATGCTTAGAAAATCAATACTCACTTAAAAACTGGCCTGTTATATAAACCGCAAGTAATTTAAAAGCATTACACACACACACGTACATATATATATATATATTTATTAAAGACATTTTTATGTTTAACGTTGTTATTTTATAGATACAAGTATTTAAGCAAATGCTCTGTTTATAATAAACAGTATTAAATAACATTTACCGGCCTGAATGTCCGAGAAATTTTCATAGAAAATAGTCGTTCTTTGACAGGATTCGAACCTGCATCCTATACGGAACCGTCATATACGCTGACGTGCCTTACCTTTAGTTACAAAGAACCGTTCGGTAGACAAGGTCGAATTTACTGCTTATAAACTCCAATCTTCCATGAATTCACCGAACGGTTTTGTAGCCTAGAGGTAAACAATGACGTCATATAAAAGTAGGACAATTTTTCGAATTTATTCAAAGAAAATTTTTTATGAAAATTTCTATGGACATTCAGGCCGGTAAATGTTATTTAATACTGTTTATCATAAACAGAGCATTTGCTTAAATACTTGTATCTATAAAATAACAACGTTAAACATAAAAAATGTCTTTAATAAATAAATTGTCGGACCTTGTCCATTTCTTAATATATGACGTCATTTGTTTACATTCGATACGCCAGAGCAGTTATGAATGTACGAGATTCATGGAAGATTGGAGTTTATAAGCAGTAAATTCGACCTTGTCTACCGAACGGTTCTTTGGCCCAGACGGTAAAGGCACGTCAGCGTATATGACGGTTCCGTATAGGATGCAGGTTCGAATCCTGTCAAAGAACGAATATTTTCTATGAAAATTTCTCGGACATTCAGGCCGGTAAATGTTATTTAATACTGTTTATCATAAACAGAGCATTTGCTTAAATACTTGTATCTATAAAATAACAACGTTAAACATAAAAATGTCTTTAATAAATAAATTGTCGGACCTTGTCCATTTCTTAATATATATATATATATATATATTTTTGAAGACCAGCCTTACCCTATTTCCCATTTTGTCTTTGTGCCGGATTTTGTATTAAAGCAAAACAAATAGTGGTGCCTTGACTGCATGAATTCAAACGTACTACACGATTGGCAATTAGGTCTCATCATTTTACTGTTGAATTTGCTAGATGTAGCCAGAAGATCTATTTTTTTAATAGTTTTTTCAATCAAACTTCTTACCTGTGAAAAAAAAATAAAATTACGATCTTCAAACATTTAAATGCAAAGTCTATCACTATCTTCTGTTTTTCTGAATCCTATTCTTTTATTGTTTTTCTCCTCATTAAGTCTTCTCATTCTCTTTCATTAATAGTAACCACTTGTATCTTATCTCCTTGCTTGGGGTGAAATGATTAGAAAACAAAATGACAACACTTACAAGCTTGGAAAGGCAGTTCTAGAAATTCATTAAACAAATCAATTCTCATGTATTTACTTAAAAGTCGCCATTGATATAAAAAAGAAAAAAAAGGAAACGATGCTTCCAACAGAAGAATTTTAAATCAGATCTTTCTAAATGAAATGATTCCTAACATAATCTGCCTGCCTCCATTTCCTTTGTACTTAATAAAGGTAAGCTAAATAAATACTTGTTTTGGCTTATAAAT